TTCTGTTGTCTGGCAGATTGCTATTAAAGCCATGTGAACTTAACCGAACGCGCATGTGAAGGCTCAAATTTCCTACGAAACTCTTTATTCACAGAGTTTTCAAGCACGGACGGTTCCAGAGATGTTAAGGTAGTTCTAGCGAAAAGTGTAACAGCAGATCGTGTAATACCTTTTCCCGCGTTCTTATTTTAGAAACGCAAATAGAAAATGACCCTCTCCTTTTCCTCATTACGTCATTTAGAATGTTCGAGTCGATGTTTTCAACGAAACTTCTTTTCTTAAAACGCGTCTTAATCTATGTAAAGTGAATTGAAAACGTGTTTTTTTCTGAGTCGCACAGCGATCTTGTTTGATAATTTCCGTACATCTTCAATATCTAATGATAAAAATTAGCTAAAGAAGTTTTACACTACGTTTCGATGATTTTGAGAACTTAAAATACTCCGTGCAAGGCGATAAAGCGTAAAGTATGCATGCAAAAAGTGACAACTTTAAATAAAATTTAAATAAATAGTTTTAGGCGTATAGAGTCTGATTGTGTATTCAAGCATGGCCTTTTCTTCTTTATGAATAACATTTCATAAATCGATGAGACAGTCCAGTTTCCGTTACACTTCTTTATCAATATCAATATAATTAACAGTGGCAGAAAGAGAAATTTAGGAATTCAAAAGACTTTGCTGGAACAAGGTGAAAAACTGTCATAAGGAAAGTCTTTAGCTCAAATGTAATTCACGAAGTGCGATAATTACGTTGTTTTTAAGTAGGCGTAGGTCAAACAGTGGCCCTCTNATACCACGTTACTTCACCACTCGAGGCCGCATGAAATAGAGGCGTGCATGAAGGATGCTAATCAGACAATAAGAGGCCAGGGGCCCGTTTCTCGAAAGTCCCGCTAACTTAACGGGCCCGTAAAGCTGTTCTGTTTTCATTCAAGATGGGAATTTCAAAAGTTTTGAAAATGATACAATAAAACCATCAGCTAAAGAAACAAAAAGGACTGGTTTGGATGTCATAACCTGCTTTCCCATCTTTTAAATTTTTATTTTAAAAGATGGCTTCGGGCCCGTTAAGTTACCCGGTCTTTCGAGAAACGGGCCCCTGGTGATGCTTAAAGCAGTCAGTGTAGATCACGCGTAAAATCAAAAGAGTGGCCTAACAGCACAACAGGCCCACGGAAATATAACGAAAAGGAACTAGCTTGACGTCAATTATATGTCTGTTCTCCAGGCTACGATCAAAAGCAAGAATTAATCAAACTTCGCATATAATTAAGCTATGTGATAAAGATAACTCCTCAACTGATCTTAAAATCTATCCATAAAAAAACATGCAATTTAACTTGATGGCAGGATAGTTATCGGCTTTATTCTCTCTGAATTATTTGCTTCCCCACGATCTAATTGAATACAAATCAAAACACGCAATTCTGGCGTGCTAGTGATCAATAATGCTTCGGGAAATTCGCGTGGGGGTATTTCATGGAACACGTAGCACTTAAAAGTGCTTTGCGTCAACGGAAGTCGTTTAAAAATTTCAGGTCAGCTAGCCAGTCCATCCGCTATCATTCAGCAACCGGTTGACTCATCACTTCCTGTCTTCTTTGAACGATTCATCACCAAAGTAAGATTTTATCCTTTTCCTGTTTCTTGATATTAATCATAGTGATGTTAACCTTAGAGGGAAGTAACAAGGGATGGCAAAAATATAACCACCCATAGGTTCCTGCTTCTGGTCAAAATAACATACGACCTATTGAATAGAAATCAGTCTTTTTCAAACAGGGCTCCAAAAAGCTATTGAAACGTTTTGAGATTAAAGATGGCCGTTCAATCTAGAATTTTGACTGATAATTTAAACCCCGAGCCTTCAGGCAAAATGTCTTTCCACATAAGGCTAATTCTATTTGAACATAATTTTTTTAATTCTGAATTTGAACCTGAAATATGAAACTCATTGACTGCTACTAATGGATGCACTCTAGCAGGACTTTTCGTCCTACTAGATATTACTGGACCACGAGAGAAGTAATTACTAATAAAACATTGGTAATTGGGTTTTATCAGCTGTGTTAAAGATATAAATTGGCAGCCTTAAAGAGTTTCAAAGCTGACGTTTCGAGCGTTAGCCCTGTAGAGGAAGTGATAAGAATTTCACAACAAGAGTCACGAGCATTTTCATCATAAAAAGTGCAACTGGAAATTTTGGTACATTAAAATTTGTCCTTGAGTGGCTGGTCTAGTTAAACATGGAGAAAATGACTTTAAAAGCCAAGACTGGCCCCTTCATCGGCTATATTAATATCCCCCAATGCGTGCCATTACTCTTGTGCGTCGGCCAGAAAGCGATTAATATTTGTTGAGGTTAAGTTAGAACCAGACGGAAAAACGTCTTCACTCTTTCGGAGGCTTGAAATCTAAGGAAGTTTTAAATTTCCTTTCACGCCTATTCAAAATAGGTTGCTTTTCAATAAAACACGTAATCGAAAAAGATAGATACGCCTAGGTGGCATTGCCCACGTAGCTTTGAAATATAAAGGCGATTCGCAACCAACGTGCAGTACCCTGCGGTAGATTGTCCAGCCTACCCGCATGCTATAGCTTTCACTATGGCTGCTTTATCGCATTTCTGAACGAGCTGGCACCAATTGCAAAGTAAGACGTAATGTTTTTTCCCATTTTTAATTCTTTTTCACTTTTTGCTAACTATTGAATCCAGATGAGTTGGACTTTTTGTTCGAGCTGAAGATGGCTTTTACATATCCACCATAAAGTTCCTTCACCCTTCAGAGTACACTTTTCTATACGTCACAAGTAGAGTGGAAGCAGATTAATTCTTTTTCACACAATGTCACAATATGCTCTTTTATTCTTCTAAATTTCTTGGATATATAGCAAGAGGATATAAACAGTTTATATTTTCTTGATATATAGGCAGTCAAAAAAGTACATTTTGTTTCTTCTCAAATGACCTTTTACTCTAAATTATAACTTAAGATGTTACTTATAGAGATCGAGTGTTCGAAAACAAAACCGGGACTGATATTTTGTCAGATTTCAAAATAGGGATGGACAGTCAGAAAGAATATTTATAAAGGTTATTATAGAACCAAAATGAACGTGTAAAACTGATGTGAGCTATTATTTCAAGCGAAAAAATTTGCATTTCTTTCGCTTTATTTATAATTCATTTAACTGTACACTGATTTAATGCTAGGCTACTGTATACAAATTCAATCGCTGACTGGTACGGTCGTCCAATTTCATCAAAGTCAATTTTCAGAAAAGAAAAATAACGAAAATCAACAAAAAAGAAGTGCAACCTCACTACAAGTTCGCTCTCACCTCAACTTGTTCATCCCATCAAATAAATCGAGTTCGCTCCAACATCTCTCATCTCATTTCTTTACGAAATGGTTAAAAAATTTCCGAAATCAGGACACTGCTTGTGAGCCGGCTAAACCTTAAGAGACTTTGGAGTTTATACAAGAATGAGACTTTGAAAAACCTTAAGCCATATCAAGTCATAACAGCTAACAACGTGTTAATAAGGGTAAAGGGTAACATCCTTCTCAAAGAAAAAACATTTTTGTTTCGATCGTTCAATACTCAACCACAAAGTATTTTCGATATTCGGTCGTCTTCGACTTTATCGAGGGTTTGGGTGCTAGTAATAGATAAGCCTGAGGTGCAGGCGTCTTATTAGAGCGATTGCGATCGTTTCCTCGGCGAGCTAGGGTTGTCCAATACACCCAACCGCTGCGAATCGTCAAACCGGAAGTCGATTCGCGGCCACGTGGTGGCGCGGGCCCATAGTAGTTCCTAGGTCGAACAGATAAAGTTCATGTGCATTTATCTCGACTTCGAATGAGACTGGTCAACTTTCCTGCTGACGACTCCATTCGACCCGTGCAAATCGGGTGGTTCATACTCGTGAATCATCAAAGCTTAAGGGTGTATTGTGTTCTGCGAATAGATTTCCAACTCAAAGAAAAATCGAGTGGAGTCGACCCGTGTAGATTCGAATAAATTGGATACCCCAATTTAACGCTCTGTGTAATGTAAGGAAGTGAAGGGGTTTTTTTTTTTCGCGAATCGACATCGATTTCGCTAATAACGCTTATAGTCGACCCGTGCGAATCTTCAATGCTCAACTGAATGTTGCCTTCTTCCGTAATTCGACATCCGGTATGACAGGTCGTCATTTGCTGTGACGACTCGTATGATTCCAGTCGAATTGTGTCGAAGCGTCAATATCTTCTACACTGTAGGGTTCAGAAAATTCTGACAATAGACTTCCGGTCGCTCCACGCTTTAAGAACGTAGAAGGTTCATGTTGTCATGTTCTCGTACCATGCCACTTATCTTCACTCATTTCTCACGTACCACTTCCGGTGTGTTAACGAACGATTCGACTTCCGGCATACCATGGTAATCTCACATATTGCTTACGCCTCTTGACTGTCGGTATGCTCGTGATTTCCAGTATGTTAATGCACGATTTGACATCCGGTGTTACGATTCGTTAACGACCGTAGACGAATCGCAACGGTTTGGGTGTATTGGACATGTATGTCCTCGACCGGCCATCTAGTATAATTGACATTTTGGAGAGGGGAGTAGATGGGAAGGTAACTGCCCAACCTTTCCTTTGTTTGTCCTGCTTTTTGACTGTTGCTTACCCCTTGGTACAAATTTCTTTCTCTTCTCAGCCTTCCGCTGCTGCAAAAATCAAAGATGACGGCTACAATTTTCACGTAAATAATACTGGGCATTCGCCCGCCAAAACTGCGCCTGCTTTGCAAACAACTGACCTATCTCTTTGTAACAGATTATTGAATTCATTGAAAGTCCTTATCATCCGTAGTTCTATACAAATTCCTTTTGGTAAGCCTTGAGATAGATTTAAAGAAAACATTTTCTTAGGGTGTCAGATCCTTTACGGTCAGGTGAAACTTTTTCTTTGCTGATTTTCATTCCGGTTTTTTCCAATAGGCAATCCCATTAAACAGGCTTTAGGAAGCATCAAAACATAATTTTCAAGTTTACATTCCACGATGATGCGCGACTCTTGGTTAGGAGAAGTGGCAAAGTACATATTACTATTGACTCTTACCGGCGTTTTGTGGAGTCTTCCCTTTGTCAGAGGCGAAACATGTAATTCCAACTTAAAAAGTAAGTGGTGAAACATCGTGATTTGAAGAGTATCTCTATCTTTTTATACCTAACTGTTTTAATCTAAATCCATCTATTCATTTATTCATTATTTCTTTTGTAACCCACGAGTTTCTCTCCTGCACAGTTCGACCCGTTGTCGACATCTCTTCAAGTTCAGAGAATGACAGTTTACCCATTGCTGCCTCGATTACCCTGACTTGTACAGCAGAGCCCAGAAGGATAGACTCAGGGTATATGGATAGATGGGTCGATTATGTCGAGTGGTACGATCCACAGGGTAGACAAGTTGGAGCAAAATGCCAACAGCCCTCAAACATACATGCTCATAAACTTAAATTAAGCTGTCCATTAGTGCTTAAAAATTTGACAGTTGAAAAATTTGGCCGTTACACTTGCCAAGCGGGTAATGGTTACCTAAAACACTGCACGAGGAAACCATTTGAAATAGAGATCCAAGGTAAGCAAACCAGGCTTATCATACCTTTATACGACAATAGACATCCTATATATTCTTTATTGCAAAGGTGGGTGCCATGTGCATGTTGGGTTTCGCTGCGATAACATATTATTACTAGTTTCTTTGGCAAAACTCAGGAATAAGTAGCCTTAAATAATCAACATCTAAGAAACTCCTGAAATGTATGGATAGGTGTCACGAAGCCAATAGAGGACTCTTCTTTTCCACTTAAAACACTTTATTGGTCTGCGACATAACTTGACAGTGGTATCTTAAACTTCTGAAAACCTTAACTAAGTCTTACGTTTTGGAGCCTTATACATAGTGGTCGATTGAGTCATACCTATTTCTTAAAACACAATTTTTAGCAGTAAGAACATTCTAGATGCCTCTGGCGAGATATCCTTAAAATAAATCAACAGAATCATTGGGTTGCGGAATAAGAATAAGTTTCTAGCACAGCTTATAGAATAGCGATGTGGTAATTCAGTGTTCTAGATTGTTCTCTCTATTTCTGGATACTTCGTTACAACAGGCAAGTCCAATATACGATTCACTGCTAAAAGAAAATTTCGCAAAGTGTTATGTGGCAATTGGTTAAAAGGAATCGAAATGCCCTACAAACAAATTTTTCACGCAGATAACAATTGAATTTGAATCAGGAGCAATTTAATTTACCTGGAATGATGCACTCTGTTATTAACTGTTATGATGAACTGATTCCTAGCAAAACGATGGGAATCTGTAGCAGAAAAAGAAAAACCTACATATTCTTCGGTAGGTGCGAAAAGAATTATTTCGTTATATAAAATAAACTATCACTGTGATACAAAATAAACTAATCGTAATGTTAAAAAGAAAACACGGACACACACTCATGCAGGGGAGAATGGCCCTGAAATAGTTCCCTCTGAGCACCCTCCTATGCAATTCATCTTTCTCGTGTGACACAAAAGTGTGCGATGATGATTAAAATGTATTCTTCTTCCACTGTCATTCTCTTATTGCGATTCAAACTAGATTGTCTTGATAATAAGAGGGGATGCTTATCGCAATGTACATTTTTTCTTCAGGCAATGTGCCAGAATTAGTGGGAGTTCCTCGAAACCAAAGTGCTGATATAGGGGCCAATGTAACTTTCAACTGCACCGC